TCTATCTCTTTATAATATTATATTTAATATTCTAATATTAATTTAATATTATATGTAATATTCATAAATTTTTACAGATTTATTAAATTGATTTACAATTTGAGTAAGAAACAATTTTATTTTTACTTTATTTGTATATATTTTATAGACAAAAAGACTTTTCTTTGAACAATTTCTGATATATTTTATATTTTTGTATTCTATTATATTTTATTTTATTTTCTGTCTCGTTTTCTTCTTATGATTATTTCATTATTAATTTTAGTACATATATTATTCCATTTATATTTTATTTTCTATAATTTATTTCTCCTGGAGATTATTTCATTATTAATTTTAGTCTATAGTTTTCTTTTGTATATTTTTACTATTTAGCTGCTATAATTTTTTCCCCCTTTGAACAGAGTCTATTCTAGCTTTCATATATAAGCAAAAGTATTTCTTACATTTTATGAGCAGCTCGTAAATTTGTTTACCAAAACTTTTTGCTAAGTGTAACTACCAAACTTTTAACTTCTAATAATGCGCCGTCTCCCACCTACCAGCTCCTACCTACAAGCAATCTCTCTCTTTTTCTCTCTCTCTCTTTCTCTTTCTCACTCGGTGTCTCCCTTCCTTTCACTCTGCTCAACTGCTGTTTCTGACGCTTTGGGCCCATCGTTAAGTTTCGTTTTTCAATATCATTTTTCAGCGCTTTTAACGTTGCATGAAAATTGAAAATTATGCGCGCCTGCCTTTTATTTTTAATTTACGTGCAAAATGTTGAATGCCATTAAGGTGAATGTGTATATGTATGTGCGTATATATATGTATGTGTGTGCTTTTGGCATGTTTTGTAAAAATTGGCGCACATTTGTGATACGCCTCGGTTGATAAGCGCCGACTCGCGCACACAACAATTTATGTTGTATTTAATCAGATTGAAGTCGGCTTTTCAATGCGCGCCCACCTGCTCTAGGCGACTCGCACCTGAGCGATAAAAATCTACAAATTTCTGTGAACTGCAATTTACATGCTGGCAATTTGTATAATTGATTAAATATGCGTGCCGCTGGCGTTTGTCACGAAAATCGCGTACAACATTTGCCAACTAAACCAGAGGGAAAAACCAACTAACCAAACTTTTATATATATACATCAATATATATTGATGTATGTATATGCATATGTGTGTGTGTGTGTGTGTCTAATTAATATGCCAACCCAGACCTAAATGCGGCTATTTATCCAAAATATACGAATATTTTCTTGACTAGGCAATATTATTATTAAATTAGTGCGCTTAATTATGATGTTCTTGGCACACACACACACACACACACGCACACACAGCTGCTGAGGTATTCCGAGAGCTACTATAGACCTCTATCTGCGATAAGGCACGTCTGGAATTGGGTCGCCGCAAAGTTAAGCCCGGCCACGCCCCCCCAGCGCCAGCCGACGACAGCTCAGCAGCTTGGCCATTTTATTGGCCTGTGGCATGAAATGGCGCTGACTGCTCCACTTTTTGTTACTTTTATTTTGTTGTAGTTTTTGTTGTTGTTGTTGTTGTTGACTTTACGGGCCCAAGCAAAAATATGAAGTGCACGACAAATTATTTGCCGCTGCTGTAGGTCGCGAATGGGAGAGAGTAAGGAGTGCGAAAGACAGTGAGAGAGAGAGCTGAAGAGCGAGGACGCAGCAGGTTAAGTTATAGCTAAAGTTGACATGTACATCGGAGGCAAACACTCAATAGCCGTTGACACATGGCATTTGATTGCGTTTCTCCATTAGGGCGCCGAAACCCCTTTGGGTCACACACAGAAATATACGTATATATGTATGTATGCATGTGTATGTATATAGAATATACTTAACCATTATACACACGGATATATTGTCGGCCATAAAAATGACTCGTACTCGCTGCAAATGGCACAAGGTCAGCCCAACTTCCCAGGACAATCAGATTATGTGCTTTGCTTTCTGCGTGAGTTCGCACGAATCCTGTGATTCGATTTGAGTACTTCAATAGAATCGCGTCTCTTTTTCGGTTTGCTTCGGGTAGACATTTATATAAACATTAATTTGTAACAATTATTCTGTAGGTATATAATATACAGTCGCGGACAGAAAAATATTACGACCGAGTAATTGATTAATTTATTTATCATTAAAAAAATCTAATAATTAGGTAGAGATTGTTCACTCTAAAGGGAAGGAAAGTACATAAGAAAAAATCAGATTTTAAATCAAATTAAAATAAGTTTAAATAAAATTATTTAATGCATATGCGGGTTTGTGGCTTGATTGTTAATTAATTTTTTGTTGAGGCAAAACTGGAAAATGTAAAAAAAAAATTCCATTCATTATTATGAAAAATAACTAGGAATTTAAGAGAAAATATTTATTTTCTGATGGGCTGAAGCGCAAATAATTATGATAATAATATAATATATAAAAAAAAAAAAAATTATCCTACATTTTTTCTTCTTTTTTTTTTTTTTCTCAAAATTCAAAGGCTTTAATGATGATATTCATATCGAATAAAAATTTAATTAACCTAAATTTTTATATTTACTTGTTAGTTTAACTCTTTTAAATATTACAATTTATTATAACTAGCAATAATATATTTATATATTTAACTAAATTTACAGCAAACTAAATTACTCACAAAAATTCAGAGCTTCAGCTCGGAGATATTGGTTAACCTTGAGCATTTCTACAGTTTCGTGCTTAAAGTCATTTTCCAAAAGCTTTATGAGAATTTTAGGCTAAACCCTAGACGTTTTATAGCCCTTAGAACTAAATAGCTAATTTGTGCACTCATAGCATATATATTATATGCAAAGTATACAAAAAATGTGCCTGACAAATATGTAAAATATTATTCATGGCATTATTTATCAAGAAAATAAATCAAAGCACACTTAAATGGAATTTCCCATGAGAATTGCATCAAATTATGACAAATAATTTTGGCAGATTGTAAGCAAGGTCAGTTAGAGGTATAACTAGATTAAAAGCAAAGAATTTTTTTTATTTTAAATGTGTTTAGAAAGAATGGCAAAGAGAGCAAAGTTCAACTTATATGTAATGCTCAATAGTTCTTAAATATTTAAATAGTTTTAGCAACTCTAGCAGAAAGCTGCAATTATTGTAAAAACACTTGAATTAATAATTAATGTTATTTCTACTTAGTTTTTGTTTTAAGCAAACTGCACAATGTTTACACAGAATTAGAGCTTACATGGGCAAAGTTAGTGTGGAAAGGATGCAGCTGCTTTCCATTTTCATGATGAAATTGAAAAAGTTGCTGACATGTGTGTGTAGGTATGTCTGTGTGTGTGCAACACTTTTGGCAATTACATTTTTAGCTGCAGCCATAATTGAAACTGAAACTGAAACCGAAATCTGAAACTGAAAACGAAACTGAAAACATAATAAAAATATTTCCTTTATCATAACACACTCATAACATGCTCAGGCGTGAATAAAAAAATATACTGAATGCCAATAGTATACGCTCGCATGCCTTTTGTTAGTGTCTACTGTGGGCGGGGTGTGCCTGACTGGGGAATACCAAAAAAAAAAAAAAAAAAAAGAAAAAAAATGCGAAATTGCTGAAAAATCGACTTGGCTTGATTGAGTCAACTTGTCGCCATGATTAAAAAATATATATATTACAACTGACTTTATCATGAATGTATATAATATATATATAGCCTAAATGCCACGCCTTCCTCTACTTACATTTGTATCTCTGCTGACGAGCCCTTTACACCCGCTTTTCCCCATTTTCAATGAAGAGCAGAACACAAAATATTCCAAAAAATAACTTTTGGCTGCCTTCTGTGAATATTAAGGGATTGATTGAGGGGCGCTGGCATAGTCAGAGTCAGCCCCACAGGTGTTGTAGCTGCTGTAGCCGGTTGCTGTTGCTTTGATTCGCTTTAATAAAAGTTTCGCTACAAATTGCAGTCGACGCCTTGTGCGCCAATATATCACAACGTGGCTGAAGTTGACCTCGCTGCCTGGCAGGTGGTATGTGGCATGTGGCATGCAGCATGCAGCTTGGACACATCAATACCAATCCCCAGCGCTGCCCCGGTCCGAGCGGCGACCTGGCACATATTTTAGCATAAAACATTTACATAAAACTTTCACGGCTTATGGCGCACGAATGCAATGCAAAAGTTTCATTGTGCACATTGGCCGTTCATCTACTGCGGGCACTCACTGTGACACGCCCCCACAGATGGAGCGAGCGAGCGACCCATCGACCGACCGCTGAGTTACTTTCAATTTTTACTTTTTGTGTGTGTGTTTTTTTTTTTTTTCAAATTTAATCCGTTGCAAGCGACAGCAACAAGCTAAGGGATAAACTAGCTAGGAGTAGGGCGTGAGCGACTGCGCGTTGAGTTAGTTTATATAGTATTTTTTTAGAATATATATGAGACAGACAATCCGATATGCAATTGTTAGCACAATTAAGCAATTAATGAGATTTGCATATCTAATTATAATTGATTTGCGCCTCTAATTAGATTTTTGTCTCTTGTCAGCCTTGTCAGATCAAAGCAGAGTCTAATCAAAATTTACTCTCTGATTGAACACGCCTCTCTAATTTGAGGAATTTTTTTTTAATAATATACTATACTATATACTATATTTATATAAAAAATAAATAATATAATATATAAATAATATTAATTTTTATAAATACTATACTATATTTATATAAAAAAATAAATAATATAATATATAAATAATATATGAAAAATATTTATACAAAATAATGGACAACTTTTAAAACTATTATATGGAAAATAAAAAACTGATTCAAATATACTTCATTTCAACAATTTACTATATAATTATAAATTATAAAAATATATAATTAATATATAACATGTATCCAAAATATATATTATACATCATATATATATAGTAAATATCATATAGTAATTATTTGAAATACAACTATATACAATCACATATACAATTGAATTTTTCAGATTTTATTTAGTGTATATATCGAAACGTTAATTGCTATTGATCGGACGTAAAACCACAAAAGCTCCAATGTAAGACACATTTATTTAGTAAAAAGAATAAATATATTTAGAAATTGTTTACAGTTGCATGACTTTATCGATTCTATATGCTTGTAGAAATGAAACTGCAACTATCGCTGAATTTTCTCTACTTTTCTCTATTCTCTCGATCTTTTCACTCGCATGTTTCTAAGAGTAGAGGTTTAATACATTATAGTATGATTTTTTTTTTACAATTTATAGAATTTATTAATAAAAAAAAAATGTTTTCATATATACTTTACTTGAAAAATTTAAAACTAAAATTTTCTCAAATTTTTTAAAAGTTCGTATACCAAAAGCTGAATTTGGAAATGTGGAAAACCCGGTGTGAGGGGATAGGTCTTATGGCAAATACCAATTTGTAAAGTCAATATACCCGCTTTACTAAGTAGCATAGGGTATATAAACTACCATTCGTCTAACAACTTCGCTAGCTCCCTGGAGTAGACTTTGCAATTTGCTGGCACAAACACACACAGACACTCACACACACACACACACACACTCACACACACACACGCAAAATAAAGCCAGCCCTAAGTAGGACTTGACTGCTCTCACCTGCGCTTCACGTTTTTTTTTTCACATTCTTTCTGTAAATTTTTTGCCGCTACCTTTTCTTGCGCGTACTCAAAGTATTCCCTAGTATTTTTTCACTCTCTGCCTCAACTTCTTGTTGCTTTTGTCAGGTTGGGCTGGACTTGGTTTCGCTTGCAACATTTCGTTAGCTTCAAACGAGCATTTTGGCCCGCCAGCAAAAAGCTGTTCATAAATTGCATGTTGGCTTTACTGCGGGTGTGCGTGTGTATGTACGTATGTGTGTGTATGTGTGTGTGTGTGTGTGTGTGCGTGTACTGGCATGTACTCCATTTTGTTTTTTAATAGACCCTCTTCGCATTTAAACTGTTATGCTTGGCGTGGCTCTGGCGCCGGCACAAAAGGCACCTTTCCCACTTTTATCGCTTAAGCCAAATCAGTGTCGAGCTGCACAGCCCACATACACATATACACATATGTATACGTGTATGTGTATATGCATGTATGACCCTATCCTGTCCAACGTGCCATTTGAAAGGCAGAATCGATAGTGTGCAGCTAGAGCTAGAGTGAAATTTACGTTCAGCCTGCAATTTGTAGCTGACCCTCTGGCATCAAAAGCTAGCCTTTGGCCTAAAACGCCATCAATTTTTGGTCTATTCCGCTGGGCCGCACACGTTCGCCTTTTAATTTACGGGCAATTAGCGAAAAACGAGAAGAATGTAGGTAACACAAAAAACTCGTGTAATTAAAAATGTTTGTTTACTCTGCATATTAGTTAATTAGGGAATGCGAAAGTAAAAAAAAAAAGAGCTAAATGAAAACTAATTAAAAATCAAGAACAAATCTCTACATTTCTGTGGGCCTTGTTTATGCCTGAATGTGTGTCTGTGTGTGTGTGTGTGTGTTTGTGTTTGTGTTTGTGTGACTGTGTGGTGGTTGCTCTGGCTCTATATTTCAATTCAATTTCTCTTGTTTCCATTATAATTTAGATTTGTTTTCCTTTTGGCTCGGCCCCTCGGCGATTATGAGCAAAGTGTTAAGTGATTTATGCCCGGCACGAAACTTTTATTACTTTCGATATGTGGGCGGCTGCCTAATGCGATATATGATATATGCATTGTTGACGCGCCGATTGAGCCGATACTGCTGTGTCCATTACGAAAAAATAAACGACAGATCAGATAAAGCATAGACTATAATGAAACATTTGAGACCATTTATTACAATGCCAACATACATAGTCAATATAGGCAATGGCCTGAGAAGTTGCTAAATGCCATAAGATATTATCGAATATTTGGGGAAATTATATTCGGCGTTGAGCTTTAAGACTGTGAGGTTGGATTATGAAGGAAGCTACTGATAGCAAAGGATAAATGATTATATATATTATAATATAATATAATATAATATTATTAAACCAAAGTCTGAGTTATATAGCAAAGTAAAGCTTTAAAGCATATTAAAAATTTTAGAGATAAAAAGTTGTATGGAAATACGATAAAACTTTCCGCCTAAAACTTCTTCGTGGATTAATTTTTGTTTATATAATAATAAAAGGTAATGGAACTATTTAAAAAAAATTTAATTTTTTCTATTATTTTTATGGCAATTTATATTCAATAAATTCTCCCAATTTTTCAGCTCTCTATTTCTATAAATCAATTTTAAATATTTCCTCACTATATACTGATATTTCTTCATTGTCTATTATATTCTTAATTACACTTCTCTAAAATTCATACATTTTTGATTGCTTCTGCCCAAAATCTCACATTTCATAATTTTCAACCGAAATTGAAGCTAACAAACCCCAACTATTTGGTTTTCCTGGCTAATTAACGCAGCCAAACCCAATATTCTAAATAATTTCCGCAAATAAATAGCAACTAATTTAACGCTTTTAACAATTACATAAAAAACCACAGCAAACACATTAAATGAAACAGCAAAACAATGCATGAAAAAAGTTGACAGAATTTCGCAGTTGGGTATAAGCAACTGGAGAATACTCGCTTGGGAGTTTGAAGAGACTTGAACGATCAGATGAAAGAGTGAGAGCAGCGATCCATGTGGGACTTATAAACGGCTACGGCTACGGACTCGAGTAACAAATGTCTAGTCTTATGGTATCCCAATGGATCTGATTGGAGGAATATGGGAGATTGGGTACTCGATCGCTGTGACCTTCGGATATTCTCGTTTACCGCCTACATTTTCATTTAATAATCAAATTTCTAGGCTCTACTCTCAAAAGTCTAGAAAAATATATTTGACTTTATATTATATCCATATCCGTAAAACCAATATACTCTCCTTTCCGTTTCCCGATCACTCATAGCAAAAGAGCTTTGCAAATTTATTTGCTAATTCGCTGAATTTTTAATGAGATGCGTTTCATTAAATTTACAACAAAATGCATTTACAATTAATTACAGATAACACAGAAAACAAATGTTAAGGGTGTATGAGCGAATAAGGGAGAAGGTAAACGAGAGGGTGCTGCATACATATATAGCTGTCTGTATGTGCGTGCGTGTGTGTGTGTTAGTTGTTTGCAATTAAAATAAATTTGCGCAGGAAATTAAAAAGTTGTCCGCAATACACACATGACGTATACGCAGCGTGGTCGCTGCTATTGCACAATACAATGCAGTGGCACACACACACACACACACACACACGCACACACACATCACTTTGATGGCATTCGAGTATCTGTTAGACTATTTCCAGCGCCGGCTGTTAGTTATTAGTTGCGGTTGTTGTTATTGTTGCGGCTATGTCAAGAGCCAGCGACAAGGCTCGAGTGCATTGTTAGCTGCACTTGCGCCATCTAACGATACGAAGCAAAGGAGCAGAGGGGGAGCCGGCGGCGGCGGGGGCGGGGCGAGGGGCTCCACTTGCACATTGCCATTTGTTAGTGCCCACCTGAACTGTATTCGAAAAAAAATAGTGAAAGAGAGAGAGAGAGAGAGAGAGAGAGGGGGAGAAAAATTGCAAAGAAAAAGCAACACTCAATATGCATGCGAACGAAAATAGTTCAAAGGAAATTCTCTAGTCTAGCACTCGTCGCAGCAAGCCGTGCCAAGCGCCCCAGGCGCCTCGGGGCGCATTTGTGCCACATTTTTGGCTTGGTTTCATTAATTTACATATTTAGTAAGTCATTGAAAATGCGGCTTTCATGTTGTTTCCTGGGCAGTTTGCTATTTTTAGCGCAATTGCATTGCGCCACTAATTAAAATTCATTGTCGGCAAAAAAAAACATCACGCAGATCTGCACTTGACTTACATATACCCAGCACGCCTCAACGCCTCTCCATAATATATATATGGATATATTTATATATATTTATTTTACACAAGTATTTCAATGTCATTTAATTGAGCGTATAAAGACTGCATCGCAGACTAACTGTAGCTGATGGGCACTAAAATGTGCTTGAATATATATAAGTATATTCTTTTGAAGGATTCTATAATTTCATTTAATGCATATGGAAATTTTTTGCTTGAATGACTTTTTGAATTAATATTTAGCCTTTCCCTGAGCTGAAATGCCAAAGTTCCAAAGGTAAATGGTTTATGCCAATTACATTATTACTCATTTATTATATGTTAGTAATTTATGAATCATTTTTGCGAGATTTGAGAGAGCTTTATTGATTTGCGAGAACTTTAATTAATTTTTTGTTAGATTTTCTTATTTTAATGGCTTCTTTGTTTTCTATTTTTAATGGTTTTATTATCAACTAAAATGTTTAAAGCAGCAAAGAAAATTATAAATTCTTATTCGAACTAAACAGAAAGGTCGAATAAAACTTCTATTTGTCTCTGCTCTACACCCAACTATCCTTATATATAAAGACATAAACTTGATAATCTATGAGATTTAGTAAACATTTTTCACGTTTATCTACTTGAAGCAAACCCAGTTTAAGCCGGCTTTAGATATTCGATAGGTTTACACATAAATTTCATTAAAAAGGTTTCTGCAGCTTTACTCAAATGAGTCTACTTAGCATTTTTGCTCGAATAAATTCGGAACATTTTTAAACAGATACTCCCTAAGTGTATGACATCTACTCATTTAAAAATTTGGAAAATTTAACATATTATTAAAAAAGAATCTTATGAAATCAGTCTCATTTTATTTTATAATTTTTTTAATTCTTTGCAAACTAGTTGAGAATTTAGCACAGTTCTTGAAAAGTCTTACAAACCTCTTATAGCTGCTATACATATCATATACTACTCTTTATCAGCCCCATAACTTTTCATCTGCTACGCAGCTATAATTTAACACAGCTGCACTCATAAACAACTTGTATACAGCTCTTATTTAGCTCATATATTATATAAAACTCTTATAAAACTGTTATACATCTTTTTAAGAACTCTTAAACAGCTCTGTAGGCTCTAATCTCTTAGAAATGCTTTTACAACTA